CAAAAAGTAATATTTGTTTCCTTCGATAGTAAATTATTTTGTCCCAAATTCATATATTTTCTAATAATACAAAATTGTTTTTAGACCAATTATACAATGTCAATAAGTCATGTGGCATGTAAGGCGCCAAAGACAAATTGCTAAAAGGCTCGGCGCAACTGCAGAAAACTGCCACTAACTGCCACAAACTGCCACTAACTGCTACAAACTGCCACTAACTGCTACAAACTGCCACTAACTGCTGCAAACTGCGCGCGCAGTGCGTGGGCGCGATTGTAGCAGTTAGTGGCAGTTAGTGGCAGTTAGTGGCAGTTTGTAGCAGTTAGTGGCAGTTTGTAACAGTTAGTGGCAGTTTGTGGCAGTTAGTGGCAGTTTGTGGCAGTTAGTGGCAGTTTGTAGCAGTTAGTGACAGTTTCTTTGCACTTTGCTCCTCCTGTGTAGTTTGTTGGTCAACTGCTATCTCGAAACTAAGTTTCACAAAAAAATCAGGGTGAACCCCCCCCCCCCCCCTTAAGAAAGCTGGATTTAATTTTTTATCGGGAAATTGGGCGATTAGGTTTGGCCTCTATACGGCCACTATACGGCCTCTATACGGCTTCTATATGGCCTTTATACGGCCTCTATACGGTCATTATATGGCCCCTACACGGCCACTATACGGCCACTATACGGCCTCTATACGGCCTCTATACGGCCTCTATACGGCCACTATACGGCCTTTATACGGCCACTATACGGCCACTATACGGCCACTATACGGCCTTTATACGGCCACTTAACGGCCACTTAAAAGATATATTACATGGCCTTTACGGCTTCTAAACGGTCACACAAAACATTTTGGGCGATTAGGTTTGGCCTCTATACGGCCAATATACGGCCTCTATACGGCTTCTATATGGCCTTTATACGGCCTCTATACGGTCATTATATGGCCCCTACACGGCCACTATACGGCCACTATACGGCCACTATACGGCCTCTATACGGCCTCTATACGGCCACTATACGGCCTTTATACGGCCACTATACGGCCACTATACGGCCACTATACGGCCTTTATACGGCCACTTAACGGCCACTTAAAAGATATATTACATGGCCTTTACGGCTTCTAAACGGTCACACAAAACATATAATCTATGGCCTCCATATGGCCTCTATACGGTCTCTATACGGCCTCTACACGGCCTCTACACGGCCTCTACAAGGCCTCTACAGTCTACACGGCCTCTACAAGGCCTCTACAGTCTACACGGCCTCTATACGGGCTCTATAGACTATACGGCCTTTATACGGCCTTTATACGGCCTTTATACGGCCTTTATACGGCCACCTAAAAAGAACATCATATAGCCATTATATGGTCATTATATGGCCACTAAGCAAGTTACCACTTAACAAATAACCGCTTGCACTCTTGCAGTTTACCGCAATACAGCCGCAACACTCGGTTTGATGCGTTAATAATGTCGCATCACCAACGAGGCTTTTTAGGTGGGCGTATAAAGGCCGTATAGTGGCTATATAGAGGCCATATAGAGGCCGTATAGAGGCCGTATGGAGGCCATAGATTAGATGTTTTGTGTGGCCGTTTAGAGGCCATATAAAGGCCATGTAATACATCTTTTAAGTAGCCGTATAAAAGCCGTATAAAGGCCATATAGAGGCTGTATAGAGGCCCTATAGAGGCCGTATAGAGGCCAAACCTAATCGCCCATTTTCCCAATGATTTGTTAAATTTTCAGAAAATTTAACAAAATTATTTTCTTGACGCACGAAGGTCAGCTTAGTCTTCCACTTCGAATTTCGTTTAATATATTTTTTACGATATTCTACTTTTCAGAATGAACACGTCTCTGAATATCGTGGTGATCACTGCTTTGGCGCTTTTGGCGGTCAGTGCGGTTTCTGGACAAGGTAGGAAAACACCCAAATGGTGCTTGTTGTTTTAAACTTTGACAATCCTCTCTCTCTCTCTCTCTCTCTCTTCTCTCTCTCTCTCTCTCTCTCTCTCTCTCTCTCTCTCTCTCTCTCTCTCTCTCTCTCTCTCTCTATCTCTCTCTCTCTCTCTCTCTCTCTCTCTCTCTCTCTCTCTCTCTCTCTCTCTCTCTCTCTCTCTCTCTCTCTCTCTCTCTCTCTCTCTCTCTCTCTCTCTCTCTCTCTCTCTCTCTCTCTCAAAGCAAATTTTGGTCAGCTTAGTCTTCCACTTCGAATTTCGTTTAATATATTTTTTACGATATTCTACTTTTCAGAATGAACACGTCTCTGAATATCGTGGTGATCACTGCTTTGGCGCTTTTGGCGGTCAGTGCGGTTTCTGGACAAGGTAGGAAAACACCCAAATGGTGCTTGTTGTTTTAAACTTTGACAATCCTCTCTCTCTCTCTCTCTCTCTCTCTCTCTCTCTCTCTCTCTCTCTCTCTCTCTCTCTCTCTCTCTCTCTCTCTCTCTCTCTCTCTCTCTCTCTCTCTCTCTCTCTCTCTCTCTCTCTCTCTCTCTCTCTCTCTCTCTCTCTCTCTCTCTCTCTCTCTCTCTCTCTCTCTCTCTCTCTCTCTCTCAATGTCATCTACCCTGAGTTGCTTTTATAGATAACTCGCCATTTACCGTTCTGTCTATAAACATCTTCTGGCTATTCTCTCTAGCGAAGCAGAATGAGCTTTCCTCTTACCCACTTCCCTTACTCCCCCAACCATGTTGAAAGATTCATCCAAAGGTTCCATGAATCCAACAATTCTCTTTCTATTGATCAGTATCACAACATCAAAAAAAACATAAACATGGGATTGTCGATTGATGCATTTCAAGGGTACCCTGTTGTTGCACGAAAATACAAGTGAACTTCTCACAAACATTCTAGCCGACTCCACCAAGTTACTACGCTCTCGTAATTTAAATTAGACCCCTTACTAGTCCCTTGGGATTGATCTTCCCGGTAAAATAAATCTTTGAATAAGCTGGTAGTGCGCTGATGGACTTTTCAACTATTCCATAACTTAATCGGTCTATCCAGAAACTTTTTTTGGCCGTTAGTAGTGTTAAGAAGTTCTCTGGGAAGTAGAAACGTGTTTTCTTATCAGGTAATTCCCCGCTATATTGTCTTCTGACACTAAATGACTAAATCACAGGCCACAAATTTGTACGTGACTTCTGTTCCAGCCATTTTAGCCTGTAAATCGATCTGACCTATCATGGGAATAAGTTTGCAAGCGTTCCTGTAATTCCGCCTCCCATCTCGTTCTCCATCCGACACTGGTCTCGGACGTAAAGAGCTTCTGGTTCTTCCTCTGCATCTCTCACGACTCAATACTAATAGATCGCTGATGAATAACCCATTCTCCCTCACTCAAACTGTTTTGCTTAGAAAACGAAGGATCGTGAACACTGTTATGGACAGTACTACAGTAGTTTTATTAGAAAATATCGTTTGCTTCCAAATTAAAGAGACGGGCACCTCACTTTCAGTCATCATCCATCCTCACCTCACTTTTAAGTTTTAGAAGGTTTCGACACCTTCTACCCTGTATCTTTTCCGGTAATGTCACCGTCTCCACAAATGAAGTGAATCTAGCTACATTGAGCTAGGAAATTATAATTGAATTTTTGCTCTTTGCTTTACGTAAAACTGTAAAAGGGCGGAAGACAATTTGCTTCCGACAGAGTCTTATCTAAACAAGCAATACTATATTTTGTTCTCAGTCGGAAAACGTACTCACTGATTTCTTCCCTTTGTCGTTGACTACTTTTGAGAAATTCATTCCTGAATGCTGTTGCCTCGTTGCCATATTGCAGATTGTGTTGGGGATTTAAATGGTGATACTGTCGGTGCTGGAGTTTTAGGGTTGCTGCTTAGCAATGAAGGAACAGTTTGTGACGATCATTTCAGTGATAACTCAGCTGATGCTATTTGTCGTGGAATGGGACACATCGGTCAAATGAGCTGGTCATCCGGTAATAAATTCCCTAATATTCAAGCGGGGCTCGAAATAACCCTAGACGATGTTGCCTGTAGCAGTGGTGAATGGAGTTCATGTTCGTTTTCATTCGATGACAATTGTGGTCACTCAGAAGACGTGTTTCTACAATGTGAAGGAGTTGGTGAGTCTATTTTAGTTTCAAGATCATGAATACTTGTTCAGGTTACAATTTTAGATCTGGTTCAAATTTGCAGAAATCGTTGAGACAAGCCAGGTTTCCAAAAATTTGGTAACTCGAGGTTCATGAGTTTTTAATTAAAGAATAACAATTAGATAACAATAATATCTTCCAAATCTAGTCGACGGAGGTTACACAGATTTTGGAGAATGGTCAGAATGTTCAGTTCATTGTGGAGAAGGTGCCCAAACCAGAACAAGGACTTGCACCGACCCTGCTCCGGCTAATGGTGGTGCAGATTGTGTTGGGGAAGCATGTCAGTCTCAACCTTGCACACTAAATGAATGTCTAGGTTAAAGTACCTCTCACACATAAGTTTCATTTTCTGCTTCCAAGCAGTTCTTTTAGTTTCAGCTATTTATTTTTATAATTTCATTTAAAGTCACACTTATTAAACTCTCAGTGTTTAGCCTGGTAGATTTAAATGGTGATACTGTCGGTGCTGGAGTTGAAGGGTTGCTGCTTAGCAACGAAGGAACAGTTTGTGACGATGCATTCACTGATAACTCAGCTGATGCTATTTGTCGTGAAATGGGACACATCGGTCAAATGAGCTGGTCATCCAATGAAAAATGGGGCATTCAAGAGGGGATCGAAATAACCCTAGACGATGTTGCCTGTAGCAGTGGTGAATGGAGTTCATGTTCGTATTCAACCTCTGCAAATTGTCGTCACGACGAAGATGTGTTTCTACAATGTGAAGGAGTTGGTGAGTCTATTTTAATTACAAGATCGTGAATACTTGTTCAGGTTACAATTTTAGTTCTGGTTCAAATTTGCAGAAATTGTTGAGACAAGCCAGGTTTCCAAAGATTTGGTAACTCGAGGTTTATGAGTTTTTGATTCAAGTATAACAATTAGATAACAATAATATCTTTCAAATCTAGTCGACGGTGGTTACACAGATTTTGGAGAATGGTCAGAATGTTCAGTTCATTGTGGAGAAGGTTCCCAAACCAGAACAAGGACTTGCACCGATCCTGCTCCGGCTAATGGTGGTGCAGATTGTGTTGGGAAAGCATCTCAGACTCAAGCTTGCACACTTAATGAATGTCCAGGTTAAAGTACCTCTCACACATAAGTTTCATTTTCTGCTTCCAAGGAGTTCTTTTAGTTTCAGCTATTTATTTTTATAATTTCATTTAAAGTCACACTTATTAAACTTTCAGTGTTTAGCCTGGTAGATTTAAATGGTGATACTGTGGGTGCTGGAGTTGAAGGGTTGCTGCTTAGCAACGAAGGAACAGTTTGTGACGATGCATTCACTGATAACTCAGCTGATGCTATTTGTCGTGAAATGGGATATATCGGTCAAATGAGCTGGTCATCCGGTAATAGATTGGAAAATATTCAAGAGGGGCTCGAAATAACCCTAGACGATGTTGACTGTAGCAGCGGTGAATGGAGTTCATGTTCGTTTTCATTCGATGACAATTGTGGTCACGGCGAAGATGTGTTTCTACAATGTGAAGGAGTTGGTGAGTCTATTTTAGTTTCAAGATCATGAATACTTGTTCAGGTTACAATTTTAGATCTGGTTCAAATTTGCAGACATCGTTGAGACAACCCAGGTTTCCAAAAATTTGGTAACTCGAGGTTCATGAGTTTTTGATTAAAGAATAACAATTAGATAACAATAATATCTTTTAAATCTAGTCGACGGAGGTTACACTGATTTTGGAGAATGGTCAGAATGTTCAGTTCATTGTGGAGAAGGTATCCAAACCAGAACAAGGACTTGCACCGACCCTGCTCCGGCTAATGGTGGTGCAGATTGTGTTGGGGAAGCATCTCAGTCTCAACCTTGCACACTTAATGAATGTCCAGGTTAAAGTACCTCTCACACATAAGTTTCATTTTCTGCTTCCAAGCAGTTCTTTTAGTTTCAGCTGTTTATTTTTATAATTTCATTTAAAGTCACACTTATTAAACTTTCAGTGTTTAGCCTGGTAGATTTAAATGGTAATACTGTCGGTGCTGGAGTTGAAGGGTTGCTGCTCAGCAACGAAGGAACAGTTTGTGACGATGCATTCACTGATAACTCAGCTGATGCTATTTGTCGTGAAATGGGATATATCGGTCAAATGAGCTGGTCATCCGGTAATAGATTGGAAAATATTCAAGAGGGGCTCGAAATAACCCTAAACGATGTTGACTGTAGCAGCGGTGAATGGAGTTCATGTTCGTTTTCATTCGTTGACAATTGTGGTCACGACGAAGATGTGTTTCTACAATGTGAAGGAGTTACAAGGAGTTGTTCGGGTTACAATTTCAGATTTGGTTTAAATTTGCAGAAATCGTTGAGACAAGCCAGGTTTTTAAAGATTTGGTAACTCGAGGTTCATGTGTTTTTGATTCAAGTATTTGACTAAAAGGCATAATCATGGGTAGAGTGGACCGCTGCCAGTCTCTCTCTCTCTCAAGCAAAAGGAAATGGCATTAATTTGATTGACCGTCTGCAAATGCAAAATGATACCGAGAAATGAGAATGAAATCGGTCGTTCGCTTTTCCCATTAATTCACGGCTTACGAATTCTAATAAGTTTCGATTAATTAGTTAATTGCATCAATCACATGCTGTAAAAATCTCTTTGGGTTGCTTTCGGGTCGATACCTAGTATTTCGGGATAAGGGTGGTAATTAGTGTCCGATTAGCTGCTGTTCATTGAGTCTTTATTGCCGAGTACAGCTGCCTTCGGGTACATAACTATTTTTTATTCCTGTCATCTTTGAGATCGAATTAGAATGTTTTCAACTAAAAATAAACCTGCTGAACGACTTCCATTGAGCCTTGATGCTTCAAAAAACAATAAAGGGGGTATAATAGTCTAGAACGTATAAGAGGCACGGTCATGCTTGCCAGCACTGTGATATATATATATTCAGGGATAGACGCTTTGCCAGTCAATTGTAGCATGTATTCAAGTGTCCGTAGATTCAAAAGTATAAAAGATACAGCCATTTCATACCACAGGTCTTGAAGATAATTGTTTACACTTCAGTTTACGGTGTATAAAAAATATTTGACGTCATTAATACCCCTTGATGACGTCATCAAGTTAGCGTTTTTTTAAACTTCATTTTTGTCAAAGTAATAACTTTTAAAATCGATTTTACACCATCAAGGAGTTATTTTATTCAACATGTGAGGGCCTAATGAAGTTAGATAATTGTTCAAGCATTCTGAAAATTTACCGGAAAGTTTTTCTAGCTTGCTCCTTCATAAAGATATTCGCTATTGAAGTTAGTGCTTTTTTGAAGAATAATTTTATAAAAACGCTAATTTTACGTTCTAGTATTCTCTAGTGTTGGGCCATCCCTTGGGTTTTGGAGCTCAATTTTGGTTTCTAAAGGTCTAAATTGTGTCATAGGCTAATATATTGTAATAAGTTTCGATTTATAACATGTAATCTATTACAATTGTAAATGAATGGGGAAAGCGAGCGACCGATTTCATTCTCGGTATCATTTTGCATTTGATTACGGTCATTCAAATTGATATCATTGCCTTTTGTTTGGTCCACTCTACCCATTTTTATGAGTTTTGGTCAAATTAATATTAAGTGAATAAATCAAAAGGATGCGTTTTTTCACGTTGGGTATTATGACTTTTGTTGTACAAAACAATGTATGTAAATCAAAATCAAAATACTTACCTTAAACACACGATTTACTTTTGTGATTTGTCCTTGCCGTACAGCAAATGACATTGGTTTCTAAATTCACAAACAAGGATATATTAGCAGTTGATGGTGGATGGACTGACTTTGGAGAGTGGTCGGTCTGTTCTGCTGAATGTGGAGGAGGTTCTCAAAGCAGGAGTAAGACCTGTACAAACCCAAGTCCTGCGAACGGAGGGAATGAATGCGAGGGGGAAGATGAGGAGTCGAGGACTTGCAACCCTGAACCCTGTCCAGGTCAGAGTACTTTTTATGTAACCAGCCATATATTTTGAAATAGTTTGAGTAGTTGGCAGTAGCATATTAGATGCACAAACTGATTATGAGGACATTTTGTATTAATATTAAGTAAATAAATCAAAAGGATGTGTTTTTTCACGTTGGGTATTATACACTTTTGTGGTACAATGCAATGTATGTAAATCAAAATCAAAATACTTACCTTAAACACACGATTTACTTTTGTGATTTGTCCTTGCCGTACAGCAAATGACAGTGGTTTCTAAATTCACAAACATGACTATGTTAACAGTTGACGGTGGATGGAGTGACTTTGGAGAATGGTCGGTCTGTTCTGCTGAATGTGGAGGAGGTTCTCAAAGCAGGAGTAAGACCTGTACAAACCCAAGTCCAGCGAACGGAGGACAAGAATGCGAGGGGGAAGATGAGGAGTCGAGGACTTGCAACCCTGAACCCTGTCCAGGTCAGAGTCCTTTTTATGTAACCAGCCATATATTTTGAAATAGTTTGAGTAGTTGGCGGTAGCATATTAGATGCACAAACTGATTATGAGGACATTTTGTATTAATATTAAGTAAATAAATCAAAAGGATGTGTTTTTTCACGTTGGGTATTATACACTTTTGTGGTACAATGCAATGTATGTAAATCAAAATCAAAATACTTACCTTAAACACACGATTTACTTTTGTGATTTGTCCTTGCCGTACAGCAAATGACAGTGGTTTCTAAATTCACAAACATGACTATGTTAACAGTTGACGGTGGATGGAGTGACTTTGGAGAATGGTCGGTCTGTTCTGCTAAATGTGGGGGAGGTTCTCAAAGCAGGAGTAAGACCTGTACAAACCCAAGTCCTGCGAACGGAGGGAATGAATGCGAGGGGGAAGATGAGGAGTCGAGGACTTGCAACCCTGAACCCTGTCCAGGTCAGAGTACTTTTTATGTAACCAGCCATATTTTAAGGTAGTTCGAGTAGTTGGTAGTAGCATATTAGATGCACATTCTGATTATGAGGACGTTTTGAATTAATATTAAGTAAGGGGGTAAATAGTAAAGGGGGTAAATAGTAAAGGGGGTAAATAGTAAAGGGGGTAAATAGTAAAGGAGGTAAATAGTAAAGGGGGTAAATAGTAAAGGGGTATAATAGTGAAGGGGGTAAGTAGTATAGTGAATATAAGAGGCACGGTCGTGCTTGCCAGCACTGTGATAACAAGATAACAATAATATCTTTCAAATCTAGTCGACGGAGGTTTCACAGATTTTGGAGAATGGTCAGAATGTTCAGTTGATTGTGGAGAAGGTACCCAAACAAGAACAAGGACTTGCACCGACCCTGCTCCAGCTAATGGTGGTGCAGATTGTGTTGGGGAAGCATCTCAGACTCAACCATGCACAAATGAATGTCCAGGTTAAAGTACCTATCACACATAAGTTTCATTTTCTGCTTCCAAGGAGTTCTTTTAGTTTAAGCTATTTTGGTCGCTTTAGAAAACTGCCCCTTAAGCTAGGGCACTTTGTTAAAAGAAATATGCCACATTGTGTAGATTGCAGAACGTTACAACAGAATTAAACGTCATCTGACAAATTTTTGCGAAAACAAAATGTTTGTGTGCTCCAATTGTCAAATTAACGCTGACCTTTGCCCAGTTGATGGAGGATGGTCTGAATTCTCAGATTGGTCTGAGTGCTCGGTTGCATGCGGAGGATGATCTCAAAGTAGAAGCAGAAGTTGTTCCAACCCTGTCCCAGAAAATGGAGGGGCTGATTGCGATGGAGACGATTCGGAATCTCAAGACTGCAACGCTGACCCTTGCCTTTGGAGAACACACGACAACCGATGTGGTCCGCAGTTCCCCCTCGCGGATGGCTCCCCTAGTCAGTGTAACCCTGACCACCCAAAAGGTGCTGTTTGCTGTTCTAAGTGGGGACGGTGCTCATCCAAACAAAAATGGTGCACCTGTCCTACCTGCGTCAACTACGGCCGAAGTAAGTGTTAACATGAAAGGCAGAAACTCTTTCTTGGTCAAGTTGAATAGTTTGTTAAGTAGTAATACTTATAGTGGAAGGCCGACACTTTTCAATCAATTTTTCAATCAACCGACGAAGACACATGTACGCTAATTAGCTTTAAATTTGATTGGCTACCTTTTAAAAAGTGACTCCTCTGCTCCGTTATACGCGTCTTTAAAATCCCCTAAATTATGATCGCAATAAGAACATTTGACTTCACATCGCTTTTTGCTCCCATTACAAGAACACTTGAATTTAACAGTTATTTTTTATTAATGTTTTATTAACATCCCTTCACCTCAGAAGAATTATCTGAAGACTGCAACGGTAACCTTTGCCCTGCAGTTGACGGAGGCTGGTCTGAATTCTCGGAATGGTCCGAGTGCTCGGTTGCATGCGGAGGAGGATCTCAAAGTAGAAGCAGAAGTTGTTCCAACCCTGCCCCAGAAAATGGAGGGGCTGATTGCGATGGAGACTATTCGGAATCTCAAGACTGCAACGCTGACCCTTGCTCTTGGAGAGACGACATGCGATGTGGTCCGCAGTTCCCCCTCGCGGATGGCTCCCCTAGTCAGTGTAACCCTGACCACCCAAAAGGTGCTGTTTGCTGTTCTAAGTGGGGACGGTGCTCATCCCAACAAAAATGGTGCACCTGTCCTACCTGCGTCAACTACGGCCGAAGTAAGTGTTAACATGAAAGGCAGAAACTCTTTCTTGGTCAAGTTGAATAGTTGGTTAAGTAGTAATACTTATAGAGTTATAGTGGAAGACCGACACTTTTCAACAAATTTTTCAATCAACCGATAAAGACACATGTACGCTAATTAGCTATAAATTTGATTGATTACCTTTCATAAAGGGACTCCCCTGATCCGTTATACGCGTCTTTAAAATCCCCTCAATTATGGTTACAATAAGAACATTTTATTTTAAGTTTAATTCCAGTTTAATTCCAGTTTTAATTCCATCGCTTTTTGCTCCCATTACAAGGACACTTGAATTTAACAGTTATTTTATATTAAAGTTATATTAACATCCCTTCACCTCAGAATAAAATTTGAGAACATATCGTCGACTAGAAAACAGCGGATGGGCGTAAACGAATTTGAAGCAGGATTTGGACAATTTCTGGTCGAGAGAGCATTTGGATATTTGTAGAGATGTCAACCATATTTGCTTGATAGATGACAGTAATTCTGGGTTTCATTATTCAATACTGGAAGCTTATTTTTAGTTATTCGCTGTCATCTGTCAGAAAACATGGATGTCATCCCCATTAAGCCGTTAGTACCCAGATCTGTAATATGCGTTAAAAAATATTTTAACTTTTACCAAACATTTTTTTCTGTCTGTATTTTTACTACTATTGATATTATTATTATAAAATTTTCATAAAAACTTGTTTCACTTATGTTCCATTTTACAATTCAAGTTAGTGTTGATGCTCACCGAGAAAAATGTGTTATGTTGGCAAAGTTTTTTAGATCCAGAATTTTCAAGATCAACAGGCCAGTTTTGTAAATGTAATTGTATTACAATACTAATTTATATTTATAAAAGAATGCCTTACGGGTATTTTCTGTTCAATACGCTAACTTTTACGCTAGGTACCCCTTGACACCTAACTAGGCGTATTGACCGTACAATTTATTGAAAGTGGTCCTGAAATTTTCAGACTGAATTTTTCTTGATACACGTTGTACACCACTTAGGCTGCTTTTTTCCCCCAACTATATTGACTGCTTCAACAGCACAAGAAAAGGCTCTCGATCGGGTGGAATTTGCATCGGGGTACATCGCTCAATTTCAAAACAATTAAAGCTATAGTCAAAACAAATAATTGCCCTGACTTTCGAACTATCATCAATGTCTACGACTAACCAGAGCAGTCGTCGTACAATTAATAAAGACGCAAGGCTAGAAATGGATCCCGTTACATGACAACTTTAGAGCACCTCCTTGACTTCAAAGCTCAAAACCCCGATCTTGGCAAGATCTTGCTGGTGGGCGACCTAAATGCTCGTACTGGAAACAGCAACTTCGGCTTTGAAGAATATGACTCTAACACTGAACCAGATGAAAT